TCTAACCTGTTTCCAAAACAGGAGTCTGGACGCCAAGGGGACTGCTGCTGAGCACACCTGAGGACATCCACTGCTGAACCCTGGTTCCAGGTTCAACTTCATTGCTTCCATACTGCTGCATATTTGAATTTTACTTGTATTTCCCAACACAGGTCTAGCTCTACTCTGCTGGTGCGTGCTCTCTGGCTGCCCCATCTCTACTGCTTGTGAGGAAAGGGTTAATAAGCCTCGGACCTGGGCCTGTCCAGGAAGGACCTCAGCCTCTCACAGGACTATTTCCTTGGAAACTGCTATGTGGGACTACATGTGGTGTGCAGGACTAGGACTGGCCTTGGGCCTCCAGGACTAGAATGGTAAAAAGAATAAAAATAAAAATAAATCGATGGGAAACAGAGACTGTGCCTTCTCTGTGTTCAGAAGACCACCTTGCTCTCATCTGTGGCAGCTGCACGTGCCCCTCTATGGGGGAGGAGACAAAAGAAGCAGCATTCCTTTACAGTGTCTGCACCTCCCTAGGTGATGAAATGCTATACTTGTTCTGTATCCAACCGTAAAATTAATAGTTAACATTGGGGTTTTTGTTTGTTTTTTTAATTTTTTTTCTTTTTTTTTTTTTTTTTTGCATCTTGAACTTGTATGGTTCTGCATTTGTACTCTCTCCTGAGTCCCAAGTGCTCAGAAGAATTTAGAATTTACATTGGTAAATATCCTTTGCAGATCCACATTTCAGTTGGCTCCATTTTTTTTCCCAACTAGACTCAATGCTGCCCAGTAATAAGGCTTAATTTAAAGGGAGCTTGGTGTTCCACTGGTTTCTCTTTGGGAAGAGCAATGGGCATCTCCTGGCACAGAACCCCCTCCTTCTAGAACTAGAGTTCTAGTCTTTTGAGGATGAGAGCCAAAGACTCTAAAAATCACATTCTAAGAGAAGCAAAAAAGATAATTTTTCCAAATAAAGATTAGAGAGGAAAGAGATACATATTTTTAGATTATGAAAGTGATACAAATTTCAGAGTCAAGATGGTATATTAAAAGCTCTTGCTCCAATCCCCCCTTCTTCAGGCTCTGAAAACTTGAAGGTGCTAGAAAGTACATTTTTAAGTTGATATAAAGCCAAGCTTGAAATCACGGAAGAGAAATCTTTAGGTGTCAGAAAACCACAGCAGTGAGGAGGCATGAACCTCACTTTGCCTGCCGGGGATCTGGAACAGGTGACGTGGGGAGGGATTGGTTTCCAAACCCAGCATGGCTGCAGTCCAAGCAGCGAGGCCACAGGCATGATGGGGAACTGGAACCAGGTTCCCTGTGTGAAGCCCGCCAACAGGAAAGTGCATATGGGATGGGGGCGGGGGAGGGGGGCACTGGGTTTGCATCATCAGTAGCAAAGGGATAGAAAGTCCAACCGAACCTAGTAAGGTAACAGTCAGAGCTGTGACACCCCAGAAAGTTCAAGAAGAGGCAAACATAAAAGCACTTCACAAAACGGTCTTCACAAGTGAAGGCAAGAAGTCTCCAAGAGAACTCACTGCATTGGCAAATAACTTACCAGCAACAATGGGAAGGCCTGGGAGGAATACAGCCTTAAAAGGCAGAATATTGACTCAAACAAAAAAGTCCCAGTTGAGCTACTCAGGTTGATAACGCAATCCCAAAAAAGATGCGAAGTCAGTACGCTTAAAAACATGCGTCTCTTTTAAAAAAACAAAAAACAAACCCCAAAACAGAAGTGAAGAGAACATTTTCCTTATATTCTCAACTCCAGATATAAACCACTATTCAAATTGTGGAATAAACTTTTCCAGACTCAGTGAGGATTTTATATAGAAAAAGACCTTTTTACATAAATGGGAACACGCTATACACACTGTGCCCTTCTCCCCCACCCCCGCTTTAAATAATTATCACACTAATGTTCCCACACAAATACTGTCACAGATTGAATGTCTATGTTCTGTTAAAATTCATAGTTGACCCTAATGTGATGGTATAAGCAGGTGGAGCCTTTTGCAGGCGCCTAGGTCATGAGGCTGGAACCCTCAGGAATGGAATTCGTGCTCTGAAGGAGGCTCCAGAGAGCACCCTTGTCCCTTTCCACCATGTAACACAGGACACGAAGGCCAACTACAAACAGGAGGCGGGCCCTCTTCAGACCGAATCTGGTGGCACTTTGATCTTGAACTTCCCAGTCTCCAGAACGTGAGAAATACATTTCTATTGTTTGGGGGACCTGGGAAGTTAAGCATCCGCCTTTGGCTCAGGTCACGACCCTGCTCATCCAGTCATCGGGCTCCCTGCTCCGCAGGGAGTCTGCTTCTCCCTCTGCCTACTGTTCCCCCTGCTTGTGGCTCTCTCACTTTCTCTCAAATAAATAAAATCTTCAAAAAAATAAGTTTCTTTTGTTGATAAGCCGCCTAGTCTGTGGTATTTTGTTATAGAAGCCTGAACAGACTAAGATAAATACGTAAGTCCCCTTCACCCTTATGAAAGGGAGGATTCTATCCCATTGCATGAACAGACATAGTTCCTCTAGCCAGCACGCTAGGAATGGACATTTGAGCTCTTCCCAACATTTTCATATTGTAAATCATGCCAGAGTGACCCCTGTCCCACAGTCATTTTTGCACATCTGGATGATTAACTCTCAGGACAAATTCCTAGAGAGAGAATTATGGACTCAAAAATTACACATTTATGATTTTAGTAACTACAATCAGACTGTCCTCCAGAAAAACTGTACCAATTTATACTACCGAGTGGCTTTAAATGCACACATTTCTAGTCAGAATTTTTTTTTTTTTTTAAGTTTAGGTCAAGTTACCTGAGATTCACTTATTTATCCAAGAAAAAAAGAAGAAAACTCACAACAAAACACATTTAACTGTGTTTGCACATGCACATAACAAGTTCATCCTGAGGCATGGAAGGTTCAGTGTAGGTAACGATGCAGGTCCACGGTAATCACACTCTCATCCTTACCTTTTTTTTTTTTTTTAAAGATTTTATTTATTTATTTGATAGACAGAGATCACAAGTAGGCAGAGGCAGGCAGAGAGAGAGAGACGGGGAAGCAGGCTCCCCGCTGAGCAGAGAGCCCGATGCGGGGCTCGATCCCAGGACCCTGGGATCATGACCTGAGCCGAAGGCAGAGGCTTTAACCCACTGAGCCACCCAGGCGCCCCTCATCCTTACTTTTAATTCTGCTCTCCGACCCCCTCACCCCCACCCCCGGCCCCAGCAACCACCACTGTCATCAGGTCCTCCAAAAAGAAAAGCAAATACTTTGTCTAAACTTTACTAAAAGTTCTGGTCTGTTCACTCCTAAATAGGATGTCAATGTGAAAACAATCTCCTTAACCCCCTTTCACTGTAGATGAACAGGATAATTCAAACGAATCTGGTTTCCCATTTGTGGCCTGGTCCACTCCCAAGGAAAAGCTCGTTGTAGACTACTGCATTCTCTGTGAAGCACATTTTCAGCAAAGCAACCATAAAGGGATCTCGAGGCAAAGGCAAACGCTACCAATGTGAAATGCAGGAATTACTACCATATCCCATAGTCTAATTCACAAGTAATCACATCACATCAGATTTAAACAAACCTTTTATAGTCCTGGACGGTTTTCAAATAAGAGATAATCTGGAAATGTTTAGAGTTCAATTAAAATCAGACAAATAACAGCTTTTCTATTTTTAATATCTATTTCTAATTTTTTACTTCTCTAATTTTTAATATTTTTAAGCAGCCCTTTGAAAAGATCCTACTCAAGCTATTTATCTTCCTAGTGAAAGATCCCGAGTACTTTTTTTTCCCCCTTGCTCTTTCAAGATGCCGGTGTAGCATCAGAGACTGAGGAGGTTTAAATCTAATGGGATAGAACAGGGCTCACCTATTTCCAGCTCTGCTCACAGACCAAACTTCAACCATATACCAATTTCCTAGGAGATGCAATGTCTCTCCACTAAAAAGCTCAGAGCACAGTATGTGCAATCTCCTGGCTCCTCATTTCCCTTGCTCTACAATACACACAAGCATGCACTTCACTTCAGTTCAGGTCATCAGTTTTAATTATCCACACTCCAGAAAGGAAGTAACAATAGTCATTATTCAAAATTGCAGATAACGCAGAGAAATTCCCATTCGATTCTGGAAGATGTTCGGAGTGGGGAAGGAGTTGATTATAGGACAGCCTAGTGACCTTTCCACTTCACGTTTTCTTGGGCGATTGTAACCTTTGCTTTCCAAGGCACGCACGGATTCATTCTGCAAGGAAATTCCTTTGCAGAGAATGCGAAAGGGAGAAACCGAATACCGTACGAAAAGGACTTGCTTTAATTTCCAAGGAGCGAACGAATATGAACATCTTCCATGGCCCCCAAACATGAGCATCTTCACTGATTTCAGACAAAAATCCATCTACAGACAGTTCCATTGTGGAAAACCTTTAGAACAGGTGGTCCTTACTAAAGGATCATCGACCCGCCCCGTCCCATCTTACTGGTGTGTTCTGTGACTACATCTAAGACTAAAAGAAGAATCCAAAACCAAAGTAGACACGATTGTCTCTTTCACTGACTGGAGTCCTGTTTATGACCGTCTACCTCACGGAACTGTTACAGGGACACAAGAGGCCATACACCAAGAGTCTTGGAAACAGTACCTGGAAGGCATCAGTTTAACAAACACACCAGCGATTGACAGTGTGTGTCTGCAAAAGTCCCTCAAACACATGGGTCACTGGGCCTTTTATAAAATCCTTCCAATGCACGGTCTTATTTTATCTGCTCAATCCAATGGTGGAGGGAGTTTTTCTGATCTCTACAGAAGAATCTGAGGCCTGGATAGTCCCATGATATGCCTAACGTCATAAAATGATAAATCTGAGCCTGGCAAACGACTGTGAGTAGTGAAACAGCACCCTTTGTTCTCTGTGGCTGGACCACAACATTTTTATCGGGGCTGTAACCTTGGAATCTCCTTAACTGGGTGGACAGTGACCTACCTTAGCCGTCTCAGCTTCTGTTGGCAGTCGCTTGGGGGTTCCTTTTTGGTCAAGCACCTTCTGAAAACTTTTGTTTTTAATGGGTTGAGATTCCACAGCTTCCCCTTCAATCTGCAGTTTAATGCCTTCGGCCCGGGAGGAGTGATCGACAGCCCGGGGATTCAAGCCACAGTGGAGAGCTAGGAGAGAGGGAAATGTTTAACTCCAAACAAGGTCCAACAAGGAAGGTGCCCATGATGGTATTTTATCGGACCTAAGCAGGAAGCAACAAGGCAGCAGCAAGTCTGGAGGCAGCAAGTTTGTGGTAACTATGGGGAAACCTCTGGGGAGACGGGAGCGTGGTGTGGCGGGCACCCTGAGCTCTCAAGTCAGAAAAGACTTCGGTACAAACCCAGAAGCCGTCACTTCCAACTTCTCTGACCTTGGGCAAGTTACTAACTCCCCCATCACAGATGAGAATACCAAAGCAGGCAACTTCGTTACTGCAACCCACACACCCAACTAGTTGAACCCCTGCCCTTGAGCTCTCGTCTCTGCCTCCATCTGCCTTGCACTCACTGCCCAGCTATTTGCGGAGCACTTACGAGGTGCCATATCCTGGAAACATGGATTTATATAGGACAGATGTTCCCTTCAAAGATGTTATGGCCCAATAGGAGAGTCAGGAAAAGGCGATTTTGAACGAGCTATGTTTGCTATATGAAAGAGAAGGAAAGTCCAACGTGGAGAGTTCCAGGGAGTCAAGCCTAGTGGCCTCTGACTTTTCCTGTCTTATGCTCTCCACATCCTCCAACATGGATACCTCCGCGAAGTCTACAGCCCGTTTTCTGAGCATATTTATTCGTTCAACGCATTACTTACTGAGCCACTCCACTGTACCCAGTATCCTCAAGGAAACAACAGTGAGTGTTATGGGAACCATACGTTTTGCCCCCAGATGAACTCCACGAACCACCAGGGCGTGTGGCTGGCGATGTATAGGCACACATACACAGCGTGTGTGTATTTAGTATATTATCTCACCTCCCAGCCACCCTACCCCTTCAAATTTGGTGAATTTGAACCCTTTGGCCTCAGAGGACTCAGGGCCAGAACCTTCCCTCCATCCCCCTCAGGACTCTACCTCACTGATAACCTTTTACTCAGTATCTTCAATACCCCCCCTTCTCAGCTGCTCCCCTATTAGACAGCTGCCGCGGTTCTACAATTCTTCCTTACTCTGCACCCCATTCAGGTCAGAGTTTCCTCCTACCTGGTTTCCCAGAGAGCATGTGACACCCGAGAGACGAGGGTGGGCTTCCCAGAAGCGAGGCAGGGGTTCCCTCCCCACTCTCCACGCTCTCCTTAACAGGAACCATCCACTCCCACACTCCAGCACGGTCCACCTGCCAGTGATGCCCAAACGCTAACCGCGGCCCAGGAAGACCCATCAGGAGCTTCCGACGTGAGTGAAACCTGGAGCTCAAGATCCCAGTTCCAGGGTGTCCCTGATACCTCAAATTCAACATGTTCGAAACAGATCCTTGGTCTTTCTATACCACTCCCTCCCCAAATGCCTTTTCCAGTCTTCTCCAGTTACACAGAAACCAGAGTTATCCTTGGCAGGGCTCTCTCCACGATTCACCACAGCCCTTCCATCTCTCGCCAGGTCCGGCAAGCTCTACGCCCACAGCTCTGCTCCAGTCCGTCCACGTGGCTCCCTCCGCACTGCCATCACCCTGGTCCCAGCCACCCACGTCTCTCATCTGCACAGCTGACTTGCCCAACTGCTCTTCTTCCCTTGAGCCCCGGAACCCCACTTTTAAAAAATGGGTCGGACTGCGAGACCCTTGGGCTTAGAACTTTCGAATGGCTTCGTTTTACACCTACATCGTTCAAAAACCTGTAGCATGGCCAACAAGGCCCTGCATTCGCGGTCCCCTTCCCGCCTTGCCAACTTCATCACCCACAGAGCCCTCATTCACTCTACTCTGACCACACACTTCCTTTTCACACTTCCTACTTCTTGAGCACATCAAGTTCTTTCACACTTCCTGGATTTTGTACGTCATGCTTCTTTGCCTAAAATGTTCTCCCTGTTCCTCACCTAACTCCTACTCATCTGCCAGGTTTGGGCTTAAAGAAGGCTTCTTGAGAGAGGCCTTCCCTCCATCCTCTTCCTCATCCCCTGCCCCCACACCGTGTTGGATCATTGTGCCTGGAACGGCACAATGTATTCAAATACTGAGTGATCTTAAACTGCTGGTACAAAGGTCTATGTGCATGTGGTCTCATTTATATCCCTTAATATGAAAATTATTTCTCTTTAATATGAAAATTACTTTCTCTTCTAGCTTCTAAGCTTCCTAGAGCCACGAACCAGCCTATTTCATGGTGCACAGGAGACATTCAACATGTACTAGTTCATGCCTCCCCCCTTACACTTTGTGCTGGATCTCAAATGATTTTCACAAAAATACGGTGAGATGAACTACATTCATTTCACAGACAAGGGAAAGAAGACTCAAGGCACACAGTCACGAAAAGTGATGCGGGGATCTCCTGAAGATCACAAAGGTCCAGCATCGTTTATATGGATGATTTCAAGTTTTGGATGAGCAAAACCGAATTTAACAGTATGGAAAATTATTAGCTTTCAGAATAGGAAGTCCAGTAATGGTAAAAGGTCAGAGTTTATGGATTTGCCAGCTCAACAGGATTACCAAGGATTCGGATTTCTTTTTCATCTCTCCATCCTGCTATCCAGAACATCACCTGCGTATGTCCTAAGCCTGGGTACCCTCGTGGCACCTAGAGTCACAAGCTTTTAGTTCTCATCTAGCAATAGTGACAGTTTAGTTGACTCTGTTCTCCTTCCCCTAATCCTCCTCCAAACTTTCATTTCTTTCTCATCAGCCCAAAGTGAATCACACACTCCTCAATGAACTAAAACCCTGGCAGTGGAGAGAGGGTTACCCTTAAACCAGCTGGCCCTTTGGCTCAAGTTCCCTTCGTCAAACCACACTGCTGTGATTCAAGAAGGCAGGGGCAGAATGGATGTTGGAGAAAGGATCACAATGCCCAGTTGAGGCAGTGTAGAAAGAGAATTTAGTAGCCAAAATCTGTAAGAGCCAGAGGCTAACCACTGTTAATATCAAATCAGCTTCTCCATCTCCAAAGAATGGCCTATTTGTAACAAATATTCAGTATGCTAAAATCATGATTATAAAAACAAGTTTGCTTGTGAAGGGAGATGAAAGGTTAACATGGAATAGATTTGGACATTAGAGAAAGAATTTATAGCTTTGATCTTTCTCTGCAGCAATGATACCTGGATGATTCCTGCCTTGAAATTCACAGCCTCCGAATACCACGGAGACTTGCTGGTGGTTTCCAGTACCTCCTGTTTGCCTTCTGCACTAAATCAGACTCTCCTATTCCCTTCACCTTTGCTCGGGCTAGTCTGTCTCCTAGAAAGAGGTTCTACTATGCCCTAGTCTTACTTGCTCCTTTGGGAGGCTAAGTTCACACACCCCATAGGTCAGCTCAGACCCTTTGAAAGCCTTCTAGGGAGTTTTTGGTTACCAGATCAAGAACCATTGGGTTAGGCTCCTTCTGCATGGAGGAGGTCTCCCTCGCTGATCTGTCCACCTCTCCTACCACAACTACAAGTTCCTCAAGGCAGGTCCCTCCCCTTAGTCACCTCCACGACCTCCACTCCCCTGGAACCCAGAACATAACAGGCCTTTATGTTAACACTGGTTCTTACTGAATGAACCAGCAATCTCTTCCCTTTTTACAACGATGTCTTAAATCAAAAGGAAACGTCTCTCTGCTGGTAAACACCCAGCATTTACAACGTAAGGTAACGAGAGACATGAAGCAGAAGATGAGGTTTTGACTTGCTGCACACGTAGCCGCCTTCCTCACACAAATATTTTAATCCTCCATAGCTGCTCCCTCCTCGCCTACAAACCCAGTAGTTGATTTAGGTTTTGTGCTTGAGTTTATTTATTTAAAACCATTTCTGACAGGCTTTGCTTTGTTTTCCTTGAAATTTCATGTCCCGAATATTTACACATCAAGTAACTTTCAAATGGCCTCTTTACAAGCTGTGACCTCCATTTCTTTGTACATCAGGTAAAAGGTGTTTCCTCTGAGTTCTCTTTTCTGTCCTCATCGCTGCCCTTTCTTGTTTTCATTGAAGTTATTTACTCAATTTAATGGACTCAGCGGCTCACAGGTCAGCTCTGAGACCCTCTTCATGCTTCTCTGGTCTTCCTGACCCCTCTGTGCCTTCCTGATTTCTAGTTACGAAACGGGCACTGTAAGCGATCAGTGAGTGGTCTTTCCCTCAAGGGCTGCTCTCATTTTCCTCATGTTAAAGTTGCTGATGCTAAGTTCTTCAAAAATCAAGAATTAAAAACCAAAGCAGATTTCATAAATATTTCTTTTAAAAAGTTAGCAATAATAAAAATAAATTAAAAAAATAAAAAATTAAGTCCCTCTTTTTTTTTTTTTTTTACTGCAATTGCACAGGCTTTCGCATTGTTTTTGAGATGCCACAGCAAAGCTACCAGCTCTGTTTCATGTAGACAAGCCCATCCCCTTACACTCTGCTGCTGGGAACGTAAAATGGTGCAGCTGCTGTAATGCTATATGGTGAGTCCTTAACAAAAACAAAAACAAAAACAAAAACAAAACAAAACAAAAAAAACTTAGGGGCATCTGGGTGGCTCAGTTGGTCAAGAATCTGCCTTCGGCTCAGGTCATGATCCCAGGGTCATGTATACGCCTTGCTTCTATATAAAGTTCCTGGGAAACACAGCCTTTGTTTCATACCTCTTATAGAATATACACACAGCAGACCCTCTCTACATATCTGCATCATTAATGGAGGTGCCTTATCATACTCTGGACTCAAATTCAGCATAGCATTACCCTCTAGAAATAATCTGGGCATCACAAGAGCCCTCTCTCTGTAGCAGATACTTCCCAGTGTTTTCCTCCTTACCCACAAGGTCACTCACTTTCCCAGCTTCCCTTGTAGCTACATGCGGCTGTGAACAGATTCCTGCCTATGGGACCTACGCAGAAGGCTGAGGTGTAAAGATGCAGTTCTGGAATGGACAGAACAGACGGATTTTGATATTACCCCTCTCACCCACCTTACTGCCTCAAATGCAGAGGTGATACCCAG